TGTGCTGCCTGCATGGACCCAGACGTACCACCAGTGAGCAATGAGCCCCCCACTCAACTTGGCTGACCTCTCATCACTCCCATTTTCCACTCCATCTCGAGTGTCTCAGCAGGAAAGACAATATTACTCAAAAATAAATTAGACGCAAAATCAACTCACTATGCTTCAAAAAAACTGCACAAATTGTTGGTTTTTTGTAGCAGATTTTCCAGAATTTGGCCTGCGCTCTAAAACACCACTGAATAAATGCACCATGATACACCATCAATAACTAATGACTCTACCAGTCAGTGGTTCAGATGCAACAATACCCTCCTTTCCTCCCTGCCATTGTCTTGTGGATGGAGTTTGACATAGCTCAAAATGATCACAAGGAGCTCCGGGAAGAAATCTTTGCTCAGGTAGCGTGTCACATTTCCGTGACCTTTACTAGCCAGAACAATTCCAGGCTGCCTCTTGCCCATATGTCCGCTTCCTCCTTGTGTCTTTCCCACGCTTTGTGTGTGGACAGTGAAGGAAATCTACTTAAAAACATCGTAGACAAAGCATCATAGGCTGAAAGTGTGTACAATCGTGTGTGGTAGGGAGAGGGGGGGTGAACGTGAACAGTATTTCCTTTGTTTGGATGGGCTGTTTATTTGGAAATGGTGAGGAAAGCTTACTGTGTATCTCTAGACTGGCTGAAGGTGGAAGAACATCCACCTTTTATACTTTGTCTTGTTTTTGTGGAGTGACACTGAGACAATGAAGCTGAGAGTACTACCAGAAGAAACATGCATTCTCATCCCAAAATGTTTAATCCTGTTACCTCACAGATAACAATTGCTGAAATAAACGTTTTTCATATTATACAACAAAAGGCTGATTTGTAATATCTTCAGAATATCTAAGAAAACAAATCCAAATTATCATCAATACAATCAGCCTTATACTAAAATATAAAGTCTGCCCATCAGGGTAAACACACCTTATTAACTTGTTACACAATTTGTTTAACTAATCACCCAATTAAAACGGGACAAGACTGCTTCTAGCGGCTTGTGTGAGAACTGCAGTAGCAACAGCCTTTGAATGTTGACACATTTTTTCCCTTAAAACATGCAAATTGAATCTTATCCATATTTAATAGAATAAATTTTCCACAATAGTTATGGTAAAAAAAGCAAAAAAAATAAATTCTCTGTGTAGCCCAATTAAAAGAGAGAGAGATAATACGTTTATTATTATTACGAGGAATTAATAGAAGCCATTCTCTGCACTTCTTTTAATAACTGACAGTTGATCATGTCAAATGTCTGTAAAAACAATATGCATTCAGCCATTCATTGAAACGACAAACAGTCAAAAAGCGATGTTATTTTCTTTCATGCATAAACTCTCCTATACGGGTAAATAACGGATCTGTCTAAACATGAAAGACTTCTTACCATTTGTGAGTGATGAACAGGACAAGATGATAACGACCAATTTGAAGCAGTCGGATGAGACCATCCTGCCGACTCTTCACCGAAATCCAACCCGTGTGTTTGAAATAAAGTAATAGAGTCCCTGGCAGAAGCTAATTCCGAGTGAGTGTCAAAAGTTTCTTCTATAAACGAGTAAATCAAAGAGTTTTTCTTTTAAATATCGGATGGCAAATCCACAAAACCCTCAGGTGCACATGCAAAAAGCGGTAGCGATTTCTTCGTATCCCATGACGCGAGCTCTCCTGCGCAGCTGGGTAGTCCAACTCTCGATCCCGCAGTGAGGAGACGGATGTACCGCTGTATCCCCGGGGCAGGTGCTCTCGAACCAAAAATTACACTTAATGAGTGGTGAAAAATAAAAGCTGAGTGAGTGGTGTATGATTTTCTAACTGGTGCCTAGCGTAGCCCGCAAAAGCAAGATCAATCAGCTCCTGCCTTTCATACGCGCCTTGGACAATTCCCCTCCCTTTCGCCTCTGTGCAACACTTCACAGTCCATGCGTGAGGCACGTTTTATGGAGAAACAGAGGAAGGACGCAACGTCACTTTTTCGGGGGGGACAAACTTCTTCAGGCTGAAGGAGGAGGTCACTTCATGACAAATAATGATTAGGAATATGTATGTAACAAAGTTATTCCTGAAATACAATCAGGAATCAGACCAACATGATGGGTTACTAATAGTACCAGTGTACATGCAAATGTGCAATAGAAATCACAGCAGGCTAGTTGTATTTATTTCCAGTAGAAAACACTCCGCTCTAAAAGAAACTGAAATTATCCTGAATGGGATTTAGCAAAGCATTGTTTCAGTCATGGTACAACTCATATACACTATCAGATTCAAATCAATATACCTTCCTGATCTGAGATAAGAGTACATCTGTAAATGACAGTTTGTAGTTAAATAATAAAGCAGACTATTAAATTGACCTTTGCATGTAATGCTGCCTTTGATAAAATCAACCTACTGTGTAACTGAGGTTAAAGGTACAGCAGTTATCTAGTCTGAAGAGGAAAAAAGAATAAAATGTAAACAATCATTGTGATATCAAACCAAATCTATGTCCCAACTGGTTAGAATAAATATTTGCAGGACTTATTTTTAACTTCAGAAACAGGATACACTGCTTTTTATATCAATGTAAATAATCCTCTTTTGCCCAGCAGTACCCTGCAGTGCGTGGATGTGCTGCAGACTGTTTTCTTTTATCACCACAACAATTACTCTGTTGCTGCAGGTCAAAGTAGCAGGCATTGTAAATAAGAACATCCTGCCCTTACCTTTCCGCCCACGACAGGACTGAACAGCCACCATCTTGGGGGACTGGGTCTTGAGTGGTGGTGGGTCCTGGGTGAGATGCAGCACAAGTGGCACAATGAGCGCCACTCTCCCATTCCTGTAGCAAGAAAGTGGCTCATGAGAACATGGGAAACAATTTATAACATCTCACAGCAGTTTTGCTCTGTGGGATTCTGAGACGAACAAGTCAAAGCTCAAGAATGCAAAGATTTCATACACACAGTATATATGTTTTTTCATTAAATCGTTAAAAAAAATCACAAAGTAATATAACAAGTATATTTGAGTGGGTAGATAGAGTGTACACAGTAAGTTAGCTCTCTTCTGCTTGGTTTATTCCAAAAAAGGAGACATTATAGGCTGTTGTGTTACTTTACTTTTAGACTTGAATGAGACTGTGGACACTCACTGTTACAATCTGAGGGTGAAGCAAGAGTAAATTCACCCTTCTCACTTTGTAGAACTCTACATGCCAAAACATGATTCTTAAATGGTAATAAACTCAAGAAAAATGGCTATAAGAAATGGACTCAACATTGGTAAACATGATATGCTACAGGCTTACAGATTTGAGGAGAAAGATACTTATAGCTCTCTAAATACACAAGGAAGAGGTGAGTTTGCAAGAAATTACCTTGTCTACTACAACAATTTTCTTAGCGTGTGTTCACATTTACGTCTTCAGTAATAGAGACATTCCCACTGGGCCAAAAGGGTCGCAGATAAGTCTCCTGATGAACAATTGCTGGAAGTTCCTAGCTGAGAGGGGTGGATTTAAAGTGTTTTATTTTAGAATCTGGTGTTCAAAACACACTATGGGGGTCTAACTGCCTTTACACACACAGCATGCACTCTTCCTTTTGCCAGAACAGCAAAGTCTTCTGGGGTAAATGAACCAGTAGAAATAAAGTCTTTCTTCAGCAGAGGAGTGAAGGGGGTCTGACTGTCTGCCCTGACTTGGTCAGTGTTGGGTGCAAACAATGCCACAGTCTCCAGACCCAATTCATAATGCAGCTTTGGAAGCAAGGGATATAATTTTATGGAATAAATGCTGGTGGGAGAATAATATTTATAGTCCACAATATTAAAACAAAATGATTTATTACATGACAACAACAACAATATTATAAATTGTCGATTTTCAAGCCAGGATCATGGATAGAAGTCTGCATTAGTCGGAAAACCTAAAGATTTCTGGAAACCAATCAAATGTGACATGCAGGTAGCTGGCTCACAGTTCAAGATCTGATTATCAGCAAAATATATAAAAGATCCTTATTAAAAATTTTGTGTTAGATATTTGCATTGTTGGATCAATAAAAAAAAAGTACAACCAAAAAATTGGCGATTTGGAAAAAGGTAATAAAAAAAATACCAATTCAAAATTCAATCCAATAAAATGAAATGTACAAAATTAGCAGAAGTAACTGTCACATTTAAGGTACCATGGAAGCTCCTGTTTTAGAACAAAGGAGCGCTTGTTCAGAGTAAATGGGCATACCTGCTCTGATTACTCAGCTACTGTAAGTGAAAAGGTCTCAGGTTTAGTCACACTGAGAAAACTATTTGGTTACTTTTGTTAAATGGGCTTGTTAGGACTGAATTAAAATATTGTTTCCCAAAAGTAGGGGAGTACATACATGTTTAAATGTAGACCTGCAGTACCGTGAAATGTACTTAAGTCCTGTATATTCCTCTTCCAGAAATGCTGTATAAGAAATGAACAAGTCATTGTTAAGGTTAGGCCTTCAGTTTTTGTTTGTTTGGCACTGCATGCATAAATATGTTTAATGTGAAATTAGCTCCACTTTTTAGAGAGAAAACTTTAGTATACTGAAGAGAGTAAAATCTGTCAATGTTGTATCAGATAATGTTCGTGTTCTTTGACTTGCTCTAACAGAAACAAGCAATTATTGTTCATGGTGGAACTGTTTCATTTACAGTCTATGGAATGACACAAAATCTAGTGTAACAGTCACTCAAGTAAGGTTATTTGCTGTAGCTTTGTTTACCAAGTCATAATGGTCTAAAAAATCAATATGCCTGGTAGCGATAGGTAGATAACCAGCTATATTATATGTCAATACCATAGTTAACGTTAACAATAACTGCACAATAACCACATTCAGGACCATATTACAGTAACCAGTCTCAGGGTAAAAATAGCTATAGCTATGTAAGGCAAATAAATTCATGAGAGTTAACACTAATCCAAAGTTTTATTTTGTTACCCCTCAGGCTCTTTATCATCACCTCCTGGACAAACTTCATAGGAATTTTGTGACAGCTGTCAATCAAACAAGGTCGTGCTGCGGTGATGAGCTAGCCTGAGAATTATTTTTCAGTGGTGAAACATGGAGCGGTTTGTTTCAACTGTAAAATGTGAGTAACTATCCCGCTCACTTGGTCTAATTGCTATTGTTATTCCAGGTATTGCTTTAAGACAGTTTTGGCTACAAATTGCAGTTGTACTGAACTTAGCTAAGGTTAACGTTACTAAACTTCCACCCTAGCTAGGTAACATTAACCAAAGCATAGTCACCAAAGGGTTCCGCTGATACTGCCGCTAACTAAGGCTAACTACTTTAGCTAGGTTAGCTTGTTTATATTTGCTAAAGTTACCTCTGTATTGACTTCTTCTGTTTTATGCCCTATACCTGGCTACTTTACTCATGCCCAAAATGAATAAAAGGGGATTATTTTTATATTGCAGCAGTATACACGATAACGTTACTGTACATTATTATGGCATAACGTTAACGTTACTAACAAGCCATTTTAACACCATTATATAGCGTTAGCCTGAATATTCAAAATGACACTACCCCAAGAGACCCAGTGAGGGCACAATCAAATAACCTAGTGCGGAAAAAACATTAGCCAACTTAGTCAATGAGAAGTTTTATAAACAATTGCTGACCTTATTTATAAATTAACAATACCAAGCATTTAACGTTAGGGGTTAGTCTTCTCAGCTTCTGAAGTGGTTTTTCACATTTACTTAAATTGTTGAATACTTTGGGATTTGAAAACTTGTTTTTAGATAACTAAACTAAATAATCGAACCTTCAATGATCACCATTAAAGATTAACGTGTAATTTTAAACCGTGTGTTAGTTAATAATAAGCTGCAACAAAATATCAAAATAATTTTTGCAATTGCCACAAGACACACATTATAAGTAAGACTGCCTGCCACACAAACGTTTTGGGGGAAAAATGTGAAGAAAAAAGAGAAAAAAGGATAGTTGCTCTTTTTGCTGACTGAACGGTGTTGTTTACTATTGCTTAATTTTTAATGCAGCCACAATATTATAGGGAGGGAGAGAGAGAGAGAGATCAGCAGCACATTTCTCATTTTGTCTGTGGTGATGAAATGATGGTTGCTGTCAGATTCGTGGGCAAAATGATATTGTGATATGTGCTACATGTCACACATCATCACTGACCATTTGTGGAGATGAAGTGTCTGCTGTCACCTTGTTCATGTCCTGTAAACATTTGCTTTTGTTCATACACAGGTCTCACAGAGAACCTGCTGCAGAAACATCTGACAGATTATGATGAGGTGATCGAGAAACTGTTCTCTGAAATCTCTGGCCTGGAGGATTTCCCCAAAATACCAGATCCACAGGTAGATACATGTGTGTAAGAGAGTTTGACAATAGCCCACAGTCCTGGTCAGGGATGTACTGTAATAATACATACAAAAATAAAGCAACAAACAACTTTTACAAAATAGCAAATACTTATAAATATAAAATTTCACTGTGCTCTCACTCTCGTAATCCAAGGCCTACCATATGTAATGCCGACAAGATTATTGACTTGTTGGCATTAAATTGTATGAAAAGTGAGTTAATGTAACTCATCAGTATAGTTCTACTGTAACCAAGTCGTAAAGTTTTACCTCAGATCTATTTATCTAGTACTAAGTCAAAGATTGTTTTTTCTAATATTGCATTATGTCACCTTGTGGTCCTACATTGTCAGAAGTGTGTTTTTCGTGCTCATATTGCAGCTTGAAGAGTGTGCCATCCAGCTGTGGAATTGGGCAGTTACTAAGAATGTGGGCACCAGTATAAGTAAAAATCAGAAAGCCAAAGGTATACTTGTAGTTGCTGTATTTATTTACATGATAATTTTATGGATGATCTTGACACTTGAAAATACTCACACATATCATCTGAAATGTTGACACAATGTAGGGATTGCAAGCAGGGGTAGTCACGGCCATTTCAAGTCACACTCAAATATTCTCACCATCTTCACAGTGCGTCATGTTGCATGCAGTCTGCTGTACTGCTGTGAGCCTGGGAATCCAACAGAGGGCGTTGTCCGCAAGCAAATCCTGGTAGGCAATACTGTAGGCCCTATGTGAGTGCTCAACATTTGAGGAGGACAAGGTCTGTTTGTCAGTGTCTAATCTTTACAGATGGCCAGCAAAACAGGGAGAACCTGGCTGGACTGCAAAAATCCCCAGATGGCAGATAACTTCTTAAGGCTTGCTGTTAAGGTGAAGAAAAAAACACAAACTGAGAGCAAACATAAATATGGTGTCTTTACAAATTATTCAACATATAATATCCCTAGAGCCTGGAAACCCTCTATAGCCAGCTGACGTCCAGAGGTGACGGTGCTGCTGACATCATTTCATCCAAAGGGGATGTAGAGAAGGATCTGCTTCGAATTCTCTCATATCAGGCAGAATCGGTGAGCTGTGGTGCATGTGATGTTCAACACCTTCAATGTGAATATTTGTTCTTGTGATATTTGGCAGCTGAGGAAGTGCTATTCTGACAGACTCGCAGTGTGAAGTGTGAGACATCTAAAATGTGATCTGAGAAACAATGAGAGGGGGAAATCTCATTCTGTGTTAATAGGGAATGTTATATTGTTTGCTGACATTTAATAGAAAGTTCAAGTCTCTTCTTTGCAGGCCATAAGTCAAGGGAATAACCATGAGGCTTTGGCCTACATGCAGCGCTGTAAAGACATGCTGCTGCGGCTACCAAAAGATGTAAAAAAAAGCCCTCTGTTATCACTATAACAACACTATATATTGTTGTATCACATTTACAGTACATATTGCTATAGAAAGTGTGGAGGATGTTAACTGAATATGTTTTTTCAATGCAGACTGCGTACATCTCCCTTATGTGCTACAACTTTGGAATAGACACTTACAATCTGAGAAAGTTTGAGGACAGTGCAGTTTGGTTGAGGTAAATATAATGTTCTGTTATAATGTTTAAGTTCTACAGAAAAGAGTTAAGAAACAATGCAGTGGGAAACGGATTTGTTGTTTTTTCTCTTTTTCAGCCAAAGCTATGACGTTGGGAGAATGAACGTAAAATACGCCCCTGGATCTGAAATCCAGGTAAGACAGTGCAATACAAAGTTTAGTATAAGCAATGAGTACAAATTAAAATAGTAATTCTTTTGGGTGAGAATACCACGATACGATATTATCACGATACTTATGTCACGATATGATATTATTGCAATTTTAAACATATTGCAATTTATTAAATCTTTTTTTCCAACTTCAAATTGTGTCCCTAAAGGAAATCTCTTTTTCTAGTGGTCTAAAAAAGCAATTGATTGTATTATTATAGTACCAAAAAGTAAACTTCTCATGTACAATTTATATAATAAAAGATCAATACTTGACGTCCATGTTACGACACGATATTGCCACGTAAAATGTCGCGAAACTGTACTGTATTGATTTTTCTCCCAACCCTAGTCATTTTTAACTGTCTTCAATATCCCTCACAATAGGCCAAGGTTTTGAGGCTCCTTGCCACTGTTTATTTAGAGTGGGACTGTCAGAGGTTTCAGGACAAGGCCCTTAATGCTGTCAACTTAGCCAACAAGGTTGGATATAACAACACTGTGATTCCCATATCCATTTTGAAGAATACATTTACAAAATAAAAACTCAGATGCTCGGTAACTGGTGTCACTCTGCAATTTGACAGGAATGTGTAAGTGCCTCTGGGCTGTACTTAAAAATCAGAATATTCCTGAGATGTGGGGCCTCAGATGATCATATCAGAGCAGGTTAGTCATTGACCTCATTCAATTATTTACACAGAACTTCAGTAATATAGGCAGCAGTGGGGTGTCAGTGGCTGAGAGGTTAGAGAAGTAGATTCAAGATTGAAAAGTTGGTAGTTTAAGGACCTGAAACTACTGGAAATGCTTGTTCCCTGCTAAGAGTTAATGTGTGTCTATAGTTGACTTAAGAGTTAAATGCACACCAGATCATAAAAACATGTTTTCAGGACTTCATGAGATGCTGGAAGCTAAGGTTTCTCTTGAAGTGTGTCTGAGCGCAGTGAAACTACTCATATCTGAAGACAGGTAAAAACGTATATATATATAGATATAGATATAGATATAGATATAGATATACATTGTCTTTGTAGGAATGGTCAGACACATACTATTAAACTCAGAATAATATCTGTTTTGATTTTTCTAGAGAAGTGCTGGCATTTGAGTATTTGAAACGTGTATGTCAGCACTTTGAGTCTTCCCCTGACCTGGGCACTGCTCTTGTGTTGCACATTGAGCTGCTGCTGCAAAGAGGCAAGGAGCTGTTGGGCAAACAGAAGATAGAGGATATCATCACTGGTACTTTACTTTTGCACTCCAGTTCTAGAATAACTCTAATTTTAATAGAAATGACACAATAACTTTTATGGTAATGCAGGTAGTGTACGGTTTATGTGCCTCTGTATTAGTATTACCATTGTTTATACCCACACAGGCCACTATACAGGAAAACAGCTGACTCCACAGGCCCTCACAAGTCTACATGTCATGCTGTGGGATAAAGCGTCCAAACACTTTGAGGTATCCAAAACACAGTTTATTGTTAATTCACAAGATATTTTATAGTGTGTATACACATGTATAGTTGTTATAGCATGTGATCAGCAATGTAGCAAGGTGTGGCTGTCCTACCCTAACTTTGAACAAGATACTGGCCTCAGAATTAGTGGTGGTCCCTGATCTTTGCATTGTGGCTGCCCATGGCTTCTAAAAATTTAATAAAGGTACAATTCAGAGGTTTCATGTCTACTGAAGGATACGTAATGTATAACTTGATGTTCTTCTTTCTTCCCAGGCCAGGAACTATTCTGAGGCTCTTCAGTGGTATAACTACTCCTTAAGTTTCTTTAAGGCAGGTCAGATGGAGCCCAACTCAGCCAAACTGCAGAGGAACAGAGCTTCCTGTTTCCTGCAACTTAAGCAACTGGAAAAGGTAAGACAACTTGAGCCACAACAGCAAGTCATGGAAATAAATGGGTTGTGAAGTGACTGCAGTGAGTGGTGCATTTCAGAACTCAGCAGGTAGTTTGTCACCAGTACTCCTGCCAGGTTTTTTTTATAGTTTATGTATGAGATGTATGTTTGCACATACAAGAACATATGTGTTTATCAGGCTAAAGAAGCAATTAAAGAAGCAGAGAGATGTGATCCTGACAGCATTTTCACCAAGTTCAGTGTTTACAAGATTGCAGTGCAGGAGAACAATGTGGAGAAAGGTATTTACAAAACACCTTGTGTGATGACTATGCAGTAAAAGCATGCATGGTAGTAGTGTTACAGTTTTATTGCAGCTACATTTTCAGCATATTCTCTGTGGTGGTGATGATGCTGTTTATTTGTATCAGCTGCAGAGGCAGTGAATGCGATGGGACTTCTGTGCAGGAATCCTGTGGCCAATGAGGACAGACTGCTGGTGTCTGAAAATGCTGCTTCCTATCTCCTCAGTCTGGCTGCTCAGATTGCTTTGGAGGTAGGACATTACTACACCAGTTGTGAAATTTGTGGAATATTTGGGAAAGCAATTTTTTTGGTGTGGTCGTCCAGTCTTATCGTCCTTTCATGACATTATAGGGCTTCAAAAACCTGGGTTTAGTCTTCAACAGTGATACCTGCAGCTTGAACAGATGCACAGTTGAACACAGTTGGCAGAATTTGAAAAACTGGTTGGTGAGGATGCCTGTTGGAAGGATATCATGATAGCAGATGTGGGATTAAAGAACATTACTGTCTACCACCTCACAGTTCATATTGTTGTACAAATAATTATTTATTTGTGATATTTAACCTATATTATATATCAAAACATAATACAATAAAACATCTTAGTGGACATCCCCTTCCCAAGATCAGCAGACATACTCGACAGCAACCAGCTATTAACAGTTTGTTAGAGTAAGGTCTAGAAAATGATTTGAATGTATAATATGTAGGAATCCTTTCTTTAGTATACTGTATGATTGTAATGAATGTGAATGGTGGGTGGTGGTATTAATGATGATGAGAATATTTATTCCCCTGAGACAGAATGAACAGCAGGAAACTGCCATGAAGGCACTGGAGAGTTTGTGTGAAAACTCCAAAGATGAAGCTCAGGTTCTGACTGCTCTCAGGTCTGTGAGAACTGGGATTGTACATATGAATAGTTTAATACCAAAATAAATAATTTACCTGCAGAAAAAAATCCATATATTCTGATAAAATATCTCTGACATGAAAGCTATAAAGAAGGAAAAAGCCAGCAAAATGCATTTATTTGAGAACCTCACACACCTTACCCACACAAACAGTACCTTAGAAACCATAATAGACCTGGCTGTGAAGGACATGGATGCATATGGACATTCATTCATTAATCAGTGTGTTTCACCAAGGAGGCCTTTTCAGTTATAGGTCTGTTTCCTTCTAATTGTTTGCTCATATTCTTTTCCATGCTGCTGCTTGAACTAAAAGCAAGGCTTTTTGGATAAGCATTAAATGTGCTTGCTGTTTGCTTTGAGAATAGAAATACTGATTTTTACAAAACCAAATTTTTACTTTGAAGCATTAAGCGTTCACGTGTTGAGGCCGCATAAACAAAACACGATGGTAGAGTTTCACACATAAAGTGACAACATTTAGTAGAGATAGCTTATGTGTTGAGAGATTGTAGCGAGTCTGTTAGTTTTCCATACACCTCTATGATCCACTGACCTATATTCCCTTGCTTCTCCACTGAAAGTGTGTCTCTGTATAATAAAGTTAGTAGGTGAAATAAAGGAGGTCATCACCAGTTTCTCCATTCATCTTTTTATAGGTGTTTGGTTCGACTTGTGCTCTTCACAATAGAAAAATCTAATGATGACATGAGGTGAGGAGAATGGAAAGTACCTAAAAATGTGATTATAAAGTATTATTAGGCATTTTATAAAATCAAAACATAGATTTATATTTACTAACTTCTATCACTCCATGTAGGAATGTGAATCTGGATGTCCTGCTGCCATATCTAAAAATGGGTGAATACATTATGCAACATTTAGGGAAGAAATGTTTACTGTATCTGTTGTGTGTCAACAAATGTTTTGTTTGCCATCACTGCAGCTCTGCAGAAAGTTTCACACCAGTCTCTCATGACTGTTGAGCAACGCGCAGAGGAAGCTAACTGGTTCAGGAAGATTGGTACTAAGACAAAGACTCCTTGTCACTTCAGTCAGACATGGTATGCTATCAGTTAAAATCTTGCAGCACCTTCATTTTCTCAGTGTGTGTGTGTGTGTCCTTGTTACAGCTTGGAACTCGGCTCTGCAGTGCGAGAGCAGCCCCGACAGAATAAGGGATTTCTTTGTGCTCTCTTACCAGGCAAGTGCCCTTATTAGCTTCCTTAGCTGAATTAATCAATATCTACAGTTTGTGTGTGTAGATCAATAACACCTGAACAGGGATTTAATATTGCTTTGGAGAGATAAACATATCCGTTTGAGATAAAGAATCATAATGACCCACAATGATTTTTAACCTTTATTTCCCCACGAGATGTTGACTGAGGGCACATACTTGACATACATGCATTCATGCCTGAGGACAATTAAAAGCTACTGATGTTGGATGCTGACTAAATGTTTCAGAGAAACTAGGATGAACTACTTTATTTCAGAGGGAATCCCTGAAAAGTAGTTACAGTTTGTCTTGTGCTCATAGCCCCTTTCTTGGTTTATTGCAATCAAAATGGATACAGTATTTTCGAAATGCTATACAATCACGCATTATTTCCTCGGTCATACTTGTGTATGCATCTCCATGAACCTGTAGCTCTCCCAGCTGTGCCCTCCTGATCGCACACTGCTCATGGGCCAGAAGACATGTCTGCTAATGGCTGCCGCTGCCTCTTTGGAGCTCTGCAGAAAGTCTCTTCTCTCTACCCAGGTGTGCCACCCACTCCCTCTGTCCATCTCCTACATTTAGCACGCTCTCCATCCACATAAATGGAAATTTACCAAGACCAGAGGAGAAGAGAGGTGACTAACCACATTATTGGTGCTGGTGTAGGTGTTTAATTTTAATCCCTCTGCCTTTGAAGAGGAACTGAACAGTAGATGGCGATGAAGAGTCCAGAATGCTTGTTATGTGTTTTTTCCTGTTTGGTTCACAGACTGAGGAGCTCACTCAGGCTCTGGAGCACATTCAGATTTGTTGGGAGATCTGGAATACCCTGAAAGCATCAGGTACCTTACGTATCAACCCCATCCAAATAACAACCATGTTTATGTGCACATCTTTCATGAATCAAAAAGAAATGTAATCTCAACATGGGCTTTAAGGGAACTTCCCAATGGACCCAACAGACACGCTGCTGCTGCTGTATGAATTTGAAGCTCGTGCGAAGCTGAATGACCCCAAGGTTGAGACGGTACTTGAGTCTGTCTTGGAGCTTGAAAATGTTGAAACCAAGGTGCTTGAAACCATTGCAGGTAAAAACAAAAACACACACCTTACTGTATTGTTATTCTCATCTCTGCTGACATGCCATTAGAAATAGACACGTTCTAGTATGTCAGGAAGTATGCTGGCATCTTTTTTTATATATACAGTCAGGAAAATAAGTATTTGAACACCCTGCTATTTTGCAAGTTCTCCCACTTAGAAATCATGGAGGGGTCTGAAATTATCATCGTAGGTGCATGTCCACTGTGAGAGACATAATCTAAAAAAAATTATCCAGAAATCACAATGTATGATTTTTTAACTATTTATTTGTATGATACAGCTGCAAATAAGTATTTGAACACCTGAGAAAATCAATGTTAATATTTGGTACAGTAGCCTTTGTTGAGGTCAAACATTTCCTGTAGTTTTTCACCAGGTTTGCACACACTGCAGGAGGGATTTTGGCCCACTCCTCCACACCGATCAGTCAGGTTTCTGGGCTGTCGCTGAGAAACACAGAGTTTGAGCTCCCTCCAAAGATTCTCTAGTGGGTTTAGGTCTGGAGACTGGCTAGGCCACACCAGAACCTTGATATGCTTCTTACAGAGCCACTCCTTGGTTATCCTGGCTGTGTGCTTCAGGTCATTGTCATGTTGGAAGACCCAGCCTCGACCCATCTTTAATGCTCTAACTGAGGGAAGGAGGTTGTTCCCCAAAATCTTGCAATACATGGCCCCGGTCATCCTCTCCTTAATACAGTGCAGTCGCCCTGTCCCATGTGCAGAACAGCCCCAAAGCATGATGCTACCACCCCCATGCTTCACAGTAGGGATGGTGTTCTTGGGATGGTACTCATCATTCTTCTTCCTCCAAACACGGTTAGTGGAATTATGACCAAAAAGTTATATTTTGGTCTCATCTTACCACATGACTTTCTCCCATGACTCCTCTGGATCATCCAAATGGTCAATGGCAAACTGAAGACGGGCCTGGACATGTGCTGGTTTAAGCAGGGGAACCTTCAGTGCCACGCATGATTTCAAACCATGACGTCTTAGTGTATTACCAACAGTAACCTTGGAAACGGTGGTCCCAGCTCTTTTCAGGTCATTGACCAGCTCCTCCCGTGTAGTTCTGGGCTGATTTCTCACCTTTCTTAGGATCATTGAGACCCCACAAGGTGAGATCTTGCATGCAGCCCCAGTCCAAGGGAGATTGACAGTCATGTTTAGCTTCTTCCATTTTCTAATAATTGCTCCAACAGTGGACCTTTTTTCACCAAGCTGCTTGGCAATTTCCCGTAGCCCTTTCCAGCCTTGTGGAGGTGTACAATTTTGTCTGTAGTGTCTTTGGACAGCTCTTTGGTCGTGGCCATGTTAGTAGTTGGATTCTTACTGATTGTATGGGGTGGACAGGTGTCTTTATGCAGCTAACGACCTCAAACAGGTGCATCTAATTTAGGATAATAAATGGAGTGGAGGTGGACATTTTGAAGGCAGACTAACAGGTCTTTGAGAGTCAGAATTCTAGCTGATAGACAGGTGTTCAAATACTTATTTGCAGCTGTATCATACAAATAAATAGTTAAAAAATCATACATTGTGATTTCTGGATAATTTTTTTTAGATTATGTCTCTCACAGTGGACATGCACCTACGATGATAATTTCAGACCCCTCCATGATTTCTAAGTGGGAGAACTTGCAAAATAGCAGGGTGTTCAAATACTTATTTTCCTCACTGTATATGTAGCTTTAGCCATGGAGCCTCCAGCCCACTTCCCTCTGCTATGTAAGAAGGCCTTGAGGGTTGCTCTCTCTCTGCATAAGAAACAACCACAGACTGACCTGGCGCGCTGCAGGTATACTCATCACTACTCTGCGTGAAAACACCAATGACGTTTTATTAACGATTTATTCACACAATGTGCTTAGTACAACAAAAGGGTATCTGATTGATGTTAATTGTTTTTGTATCCCCACCTTAGCAAGTGTGTTCACAGCCTGATCAAGCTGTCCCTCCCGACCGGTGTGTCAGAGGTGGAGGCCCATGTGCTCAAGGAGGTGTGGGACTACTATGAGGAGGCCCTGTCCATCATTGCAGCCGCAGTGAGTCGGCACCAATCACACACCGCCATCCCTTGGCACCCACCTCCTGTTCCCTCCAACAGAACTGCTCCTTGCTATATAATTAACCCCCTCTCTTCCACTCCACGCCTGCCTGCTGTTCTAGAAGCCTCTTTTTATCAATGGGCTTTCAGCCGCACTTCAATTAGCAGATGCTTCCATTCACCACTCCCTTCCTGCCAATTTGAATGTTAATGTGCTGTACAAGTCATCACACTGCCGGTGAGCAGCGGCTCTGAAAAGAGGCATCAAATTATTGAGACATTACACTGCTTTAGAGGTAGTGCATATTTCCCCTTTCATATTGAGTTATTACTCAAAAGCTGTAGAATTCGTTGGATCAAAGTGAAAGCCCAAGATTAAAGTGTTGTGAAAAATGAATAAAATTTAATAAATGGTAGACCTTCCGAGTTTGTTTACAGTCTGTTTAAGACTCCTAAGCATTAGTAAAGGTTAACACACAGTAGACACGGTATTGGATGGAAGTTACTAACATGCTTTACCCAATGAAAACACAGATTTCCTTCCATACGCTTGGCTCAAATGAGTCACCCAAGTGGCCTCCGTCAAATGGCCTTTTGAATATCTTCCTGCTCTCCTCTGCAGCCGGACGACTTCCCAGAGATGGAGACCCTGTGGTTGCTGACTCGGGCTTGGAACACAGGGATATTGCTGTACAGCCTGGCTCAGTATCCCGAGGCTGAGAAGTGGTGTGGCCTCGCCATGAGCTTCGTCCGCCACCTGGGATCCCTGCAGGACAGTTATGAGACACAGGTACAGGATGGGTGGAGAAGAAGGAAGGGGATGAATGAATTAAGCAGACTGGGGTGGTTGTAGCAGTGGAGCATGATAAAGCTTGAAACACCCTGCCAGTTAGCTAGCTGAAGAAACACACAGGTTTTATGCTAAATTAAGTATATAACCATCATTGTAGACCGTTGAGAGCCCAGACATTTTTAAGTGATACAGTTGTTCTTGTGTACACACAGATGTCTGGTCTCTACAGTGAAATCCTGGATAGGTTGGACAAAGCCAAGAAGAACCTCATCATGGAAGAATAACCAAACTGGGACAGGTCAGCTGTTAGGTGCCTGTTCTGAGGGTACTCCTAAATTGACTCAGTTCCATCAGTTTGTTGCAGCTAAATGTTATTAATGTTGTTGTAGTAAGTCCATCAGATATTGCAGTTTCATAAATTGTTGCTTTAAATCTGTACAATTGTGAGACATCCTGGTAGACTAGTGGATAAGACATATAGCAAATTCGTTTCTGTTCCTGGGACTTTTGTTTCATGTTACCACCCTTTCTCTCTCTCCCTAATGTTTGTTGCCTTCTGTAAATAAAAGGCTAAAATCCCAACAAATAATCTTTAACAAAAATGGAATTCTTTTCAAAGCTACGGAGGCGCTTAAAGTGGAAAAACAAGCACATCAAAATCATAACTGAATCACGTATTTTATTTTCAAACAAATAAACTCTTGTCAAGTCCCAAAATAAAACCCAAACAAAAGTTGCAGGACTGTGTTCCCTCATGACTAGGACAGGGAAGACCATGAGGCCAAATGTCCTGATAGGCTGTACCACCTGCAGTGACAGGAAGGAAACTACTGTACAATCAAAGGGTTCATGTTTGCAAGCACTTACTGCACAGATGTGCTATAACATAAACATCATCACCCAAAAGTACAAACAAGAACCCTGACCCCCCCCCCAAAAAAATAAAAGCATATATGTCATCATTTCTCTCATCAGAACAAAGACCCTCATCAATTATACACACACAGAGGCATTCAGCTTCCATCTTGCTATATACCACAACCTCAATGGAAAGAGTAAAATGAAATCAAGTTCTTTGGGCTTTGACATGGCTGACTGAGGTATGAATACCACACACATTGTTAACAGTCAGCTGTATTGTAACTAAACACCAGAGAGGACCAATTCTAAACTTCTAATGATGTATTGATCACTGCTCCTGGTTTCTGTGATATTGTGTAGGTTTCTGCCTGCATCTCTTTAATTATTTTACAATATATTTTTAAAATCTATACACCCAGACACGTTCCACAAGAAATCACATGTAGACAGGCCCTACTTGAGGGAACTGAATTCCCAACTGGCTAGTTAAGTTTTCCAATAGGCATTTGAAGAGAAATACCAACAATACAGCACATTTGTATGGAAATTATATCTCAAGAGTAGCTCAAACTTTACTTACCTGACATTTGTGGTCTATAAAACATGTTTGTCCCAGTTTGATTCACACATGCATGAAGCACAGGTGAGGGGGATCTGCTGGGGGCTTATTTACATTGTACAGCTACCACACCCTTTGAAACAGTCTGCAAGCAGTTTATAAATGGCTCTGTTCCCTTCGGTTATTCCCTGAACTCTGGTTTTGACACAGGTAATGACAGCTGGTTTAGCAGTGGTGCCTGGCAGGTGGGCACACCTGTTCAGAAAATGCCTGCAGGTACAGGTGCTCTGTGGGTGGGAGAGAGCAGGGGACCCAGAGGTCTACGTTGCCACTTCCTGTTGGGTCTGGCTCTCTGAGAAGAAGAAAAAAAAAATCCCTTTGCACTCGTCAAAAGGCTGAGGAGGAAAGAGAGAACAATTGGTGGCCACACTCTTCTTCAGATACAAACATACAGTGCCAAGATCTGCATGAGAGGATGGAGAACGTCATTTCAATCCCGGTGATGCCATACAGCCAACTCTAGTGTAACCGCACAGATGGCCTTGAACAAGCTTCCCACCTCACGGAAAAAGAGAAGACACAGAATGCAGCCCGATTACACGGTTAAGTTGAAGACGCATTTAACTAAGCGACAGTACTATTAGTACGCGTTTGTTCACATTTGACAGCTAGGAACTGTGTCATCACCCAAGCATGGCCTCAGTCGCAGGGGAAATTGTATCTGTACGTTTAGATTCCTGAGCTGGTCTAGCTCACCCCAGACACACATAAGAGCTCAACACAGTGGTTCAGCACCTGCCAATGACAGATTCATGAAGAATTAATACGTTTATAGATACACCAAGCATAAAGGTTTAATCAAACCCAACTTTAGTGTTGTTTTTGGTGGGAGGGGCAGGGGGACAATCCAAAACAGGTTATATTGACTCTTTAATTGTTAGGACATCCAATACAATTATTGTCTTGTTCTACCCGTTTTAAGGCCACCGTGATGGCGGCAGATAGGACAGTACCATGTGACCATTCAATCAGAAGAAAATCCTCTTGGAAGGCAGAGAGTGTAATAGGGTGGTCTGCTGCTCAACATGAGTTAGGCTCTGGCTGTCCAAATTGTAATTCAGTGGCCAAATTCTTCTTTAATTACACAGTAAGGATGGTTGGAAAACAGGGAAGAAAAGGCGCCCACAGAGGTGAGACTTTGTTTTATCTATTGCACTCAAGTCAGGCCTCCTGGCAGTCGAATGACACACAGAGTTAAGAAAAAGTGAGAATGTTTTCCCTTTTCCTTGTCAATTGTGTGCAGCCTCCTTAACAGACAACAGGTAGTCACAAAACAGAATTTGTATTTGATGTAAGGCAGTTTGGTGTTTTGCAGAGAGCCCAGTTACACTTCTCTACCCCCATACTTTACACAGAGCAGCTAAAATCCACAAGCAAAAAATCCCACAAAGAAAATAAGAAAAACATAAAAAGGAAATCTAACAGCCCTCCAAATTGACAATTCTAGTGAAGTGTAAAATGTGTAGTTTTTAATATGTAGTAAATCTCAGTGGGATTTTATCATTTATCTTGTGATTTCATAATATAAATGTAGAGATTCACAACGCATTTCTTCCTCTTGATCTGCCTCCCAAGATGTCTTTATCAGCTGCAGCACAGACAACTGGCAGACGACCAAACAGCAAGCTGGTTTGTGATAAATAGATCACCAGTTTGTAGGCTCCACTAATTTCCTCAGTCAGTATAAACAAGAGAGATGACTCCTTGAACAGTACCATCAGCAGGGCTCGATTTTATCCAGTCTTTTTAGAAAAGAAAACCGTGACTGGTCTTCACTCCTCATCTTGTGTGTCTTTTTAAATGTGATTTGATGAACATTTACAAAGTGTTCCAACTTGGTATGATTTGTCTCTGTTTCCCTGCAACTTCTTCTTGAATCCCAGCTACGCTCTTTCTGTAAAACATTCTGATCTTCAGTCAGTCCCAGTTCACAAAAGGATTTATTCATTTTCCCTTTTGTTTTCCTTCGACATATTCCTTTGGAATGGCATTTCCAGTCTTGAATGGATTTGTTGAGAAACTCATGCAGGGGTGTGCACAGTCACAGTAATGGTGATAAGACTTCTTTTTCATTTAGAGAGTAACATAATGATGACACTAAAACTTGATATGAAACATATCTGCAAAAAGGAGGTGAGGAGGGGGGCTATTTGGGCTTGGATGGGGTCTCTGGGAGGCAGGTGGGGAGCTCTGCACCTACGCAGAGGGGACGGCAGGGAGCTCAGAGCTTCTCTGAGGAGGGGATCCAGATGTAGGGACCAGACTGCTCCTCGATGATTAGCTTGATTTTGTTGTAGATCTCCTCTAGCGAGTCACCCTGTACAATAGCTGGAGACACAAACGCAGAGGCAGGTATGTTGGTTGCATCAGAACTAGAGTTAATAGAGTTAATCCATCCATCCATCGTCAACCGCTTATCCTGCATACAGGGTTGCGGGGTGAAACAGATTAATCTATAATTTAAAACATTAGACACAGCCCAAATTGTAACTCCAAATATTTATCTGTGACCCAAAGCAAAAGGGCAGTGAGACAAACCTGTAAAATACTCTCCAAAGTCTTGCTCCAGCTTAACTGCCTTGTCAAAGACTTTATTGGCCTGCTCGTAAGTCTGCCTCTTATTCATTTCCCTGAAACAGACAAGCAAGTTAATGGTTAGTATTACAGACACACTTAAATTTGCCAATATCTTAACTACAGTATGTCAAAGAGCTCACACTTACATTAGGGCTTCAATGGATTTTGGTTTAATAAAGATGGCAATCGGATAAAGTTGTGCTTGCTGCAGTCGTTTTATGGCGTTCCCAGACACATCCAGAATGCAGTGTTTCCCCTGTGGACAAGTAAAGAAAGGCTTTGTTACATAATTAGGTAACATATTCATAAAGGATTGTTAGTAGTTGCAGTGCTGCAGTGGAACATTTATTACAAATGTCCAGTTTCCAATTTAGTGGGCAACTTAACATGCTTCTGGTTACACCCCCAAAAATACAAACACAATCTGGTAACCCAACCCAAGTCTCGGTGCCTACCCTCTCAGCCACAGTTCTGACAGACAAGATGCTCGTCCCATAGAGGTTCTCATTGAACTGGCCAGCCTCAATGAATTTATTATCCTGAATGTCCTTCTCCATTTGCTCTCGGGAGCCCACAAAGTGGTAGTCCTGGCCGTCCATCTCATTCTCTCGCCTTGGACGAGTTGTATCTGCAGAGGGGAATGGAACAAAGTTTATTTTTGTTGCTGCTGGCATATTCAGTGTTCTGTCTGGATGTGTTTGTTGCTGTAAACTCACGGGGTACACAGGAGCCAAACTTGTGGGGAAACTCAGAGATGAGGTCATCGTTTACCCGGTCCTTCATTGGGCCCAAAATGATCACAGGCCTTGTGTAGTGGACTGCATAAGAGACGAAATAGGCAGGTGAGGACACATGTAGAAACATACAAGCCACAGTTTGACTTAGGCAATATGTTTCACTCACTTTCCTGTCGGATGACTGGCTCATAGGAAAGAATTGTATCCTCTTGTCCCTCTGTAATAACAAATTTTTTTAATTAATTTTTTATTTGTTTTATTTTTTAGACATTTTACATCTCATTTAAAGAAATACAATAAAATCATCATGGCTGATTAAACACCAGGGGAATTTTAATTTACAGATGTCTTGTCACATGTAAATTTAAAGATATCTACCATATTATTCATCTATGTGGGCATTGTACAACCAGAAACACCATGAGAAATGAAGGTGACTCACTTGAACTGCTTTCACTGTCACTTGTGTTGGATGTCAGGCATTCTGCGAAGGCATAAGAGAGTGGGTTGCAGGTAATCTCCAAAACACTATAGTCACAGTTAAATTCAAATACATTCTCTTCTTATGAGTGAAAATTATTTTCACCTGCTTCAAACAGCCTTAGGGGGAAAAGGCTAGGCCATTAAAAAAAAAAAAAGGGGGGGGGGGGGGGGGGTAAAGAAAGCAGAAGTCTTGTTTGGTGTGGCAGCCATGCTCTCACAATATTAGGGAAGTGGTTTTAGGTGCAAGCAATAGGAAATTAAGTGTTTCCTGTGACAATATCCCAAATGACCCGCAATTCCCTTGCCAAT